GACAGTTAACTGTCAAGACAAAGACTATCGCTATTTTTCGACGACCTACTACAGTAATCTTGGTTGTCTTAATGGGGACTTCGTGTGTGAAAAATGATAACTTGGTCGTTCTTGCAATCGATGCCTCCATTGGACACATAACGAAACAGTGCCAAGAAAGGTAGGTCTTCACTTCTACGCTATCGTACTTGCTAACGAGGAAGCAAGTTGTAGCTTTAGTGGTATGTGAGATCTAAGATTTTTCTCACATACTACTTATTTTGTACAGAGAAAGTATTGTGTCGCTAAAAGACAACGATTTTTTGACAGAAACACTCGTATTGAAGGACTGGTAGCGAAAAGTGAGTAAATATTGTTTCTACAATAGAATTTTACCTCCTCTAATACGTTATGAACTTAGAATCCTCGTTTTGCGAATTCTTGATTCAGAAAACTCAACTACGGGCTGTTTGTTTGCCAAACTCAAAGCACTATTTATTTTAAAAATGGTTTAAAAAAATAGAAATTGGCTATATTATACGCAAAATTACGCGAAAACTACTCAAATTTTCAAAATCTTGTTCATGGCCTTACTTGATGTCCATCCATCTCTGTCTCTGTGTGTCTCCGTCTCGGTGTGTGTCTCCGTCTCTGTGTGTGTGTCTCCGTCTGTGTGTGTGTGTCTCCGTCTCTGTGTGTGTGTCTCCGTCTGTGTGTGTGTGTGTCTCCGTCTCTGTGAGTCTCCGTGTGTGTGTGTGTGTGTGTGTGTGTGTCTGTCTCCGTCTGTGTGTGTGTGTCTGTCTGCCTGTCTCCGTCTCTGTGTGTGTGTCTGTCTTTTTTTTTACGTGGGCAGGGGAAAATCTTCTAAAGATACAGCGGAGCCCGCAACCCGCAGCGTGTGGGATTCATAGCTAGCCTATACCTACCCACTAAAAACCCCTCCCTTAACTCATATTCCTTCCCGCGGAATCGCCGTCAGGCATTGCATCGCGAGAAGGAAGGATGGGCTTTTCGCACTTCACCGAAATATTACGGGACACTTCTTGTAACTGCTCCTCGAGCGGAGCGTCTTCAGGACTTTGCGGCATAGGTTTGGCTACCGCACTCCAATGACTCTTGTGTCAGCAGCATCCTAGTACGATGGTGCTCAGGGTTCAACTTCTCTTGGAGGAGTCTGTGAGTTGCTCCCTTTCCACTGCGAAGCGTGGACAATGAAAGAACCAGCGTGTTTCTCATCTTCAATCCACCGGGAACCTTGGGCATGAAGGAAGCTATCGTCCACCGGAATCGGAGCTGATACTCTCGGATAACATCCACGCCCCCTGTCATCCGCATCCTGAGTTGAGGATAAAAATCTAATTCTCCATGTTTTCCCTTTGGTCCACGTCATGATGTCGGGAATGACCCGAAATGTCCATTCGCCAGTTTGATGATTGCTCCCATCGTCGTGCCATTGTCATTGTCACCCCTCTCTTCTTTCGTGATGGTATTCCAGTTGAAGCCTGTGGTGTCTGTCTGTCTCCGTCTGTGTGTGTGTGTGTCTGTCTGTCTCCGTCTGTCTGTGTGTGTGTGTGTGTGTGTCCTGTCTGTCTGTCTCCGACTCTGTGTGTCTGTTTCTCTGGGAGCTGGAGGCGAATGGTAAAGCGAGATTTTCATCAAAATTGATGTTCTCGGATCTTACTGAGGTCGCGCCTCTTTCTCTGAAATGGATATTTCTTGGGGGGGAGGGTATTGAAGCTTCAAGCAACATTTTCATTTTTTGTCAATGGCCTGAAAAGTTTGGGATTAACGTTTTTTTGGGCGAATAGTGGCAAAGCTCGCTAATGAAACATGGCGTATTTCGTTTGAATTCTCTGAAATTTGTGATAAGTTTGTGAATTGAAATAGGGGCAATTTTCTCAAAAGGGCTGTTATTGTAAATGATTTTAGAAGAAGTAAGGCTAATTTTGTAAAATTTGTCATATTGTAAATGCCCATAATTCTCGGGAATATGTCGGGCGCCAGGTTTCAGTTCCTGTAACGGAATTGGAGGAAAGTGAAAGGGAGGTCAAAATCAGTCAATTGACCTCGTTTCTGACAAATCAATTTATTCCTGGCACCTTGAGGCTGCCAGGGAAGTTACAGGTCCCTAGAGAGCGACAACCATTACTTATTAAACTATGTTAGCGAGCTCATAACCTAAACAGTTAATGACAAATTGCCTTAACACTAACATTATTAACTTATTTCTAAGATTCATGCATAATTTTTAACTAGCAATACACAAGGCCTGAGCGCGGCGCACTCTTTAGTCCTCGCTCGTCAAAATGTACTGCAAAATGAGCCCCGCGTCATAACTACGGGAGATATGTTCGTCTTCGGTTAACCTCCGGAATTATTCACTAGAATTCCTGCACTGGCTGGCGGGGCTGCCGCAGACCGGCGCGGATTGGCGGTCGCTCATCGAAGACGGGCGGGCGGCGCTCAGGTCACCGACCTCCCACTGGGTGTTGCCTCCTCGCTGGGCAGCCGTGTAGTGGCGACGGAGCCGTCAACTCGTGCGGCTCATCAATTGAGGACACATCGCGGTACTGGGCCGTGTTTAGTGGGGCGGGCTTCGAAATGGGCCCGATATGGCACTAGGGCCAGCGATGCAGATCATCTTACGCGAAAGGTGACGCAGGATCTTTGCCATCTCCCGCGCCAAGTTACCTCCAACGGTAATTTCAAAAGTGCTTATTCGAGGAATCTGCTTAAAATGCTTACTTCGAGATCTGACTGCTAGTGTCTATTCGAGAATCTGAATGCTAAGTTCTCAATTCGAGAATCTAATGCTAAGTGTCCATTCGAGAATCTCTATGCAAGTAAGTTTCTCTGCGCATCTTGGCGTCCAAGTTACCTCGCGTCCCCCCTCCCAAAACGTTTCCGAACCTGCAGAATTGCGCCATCCCGGTATTTATCGTCTCAGCTACACCTTTCCCCTCGGCCTCACGATGAGACGTCCCATAGGCCTAAACTAAATGCGTCTTAATTTTTTGAAGTTCGCCAATCGGGTTGCATCGTTTACGAAATTTTCCAGGGAGATCTCTCTTCTACGTCGGGCCTCTCTCTCTCTCTCTCTCTCTCTGCTCTCTCTCTCTCTCTCTCTGCTCTCTCTCTGTGTTGAGCGATTTCAGGAAGATCCTCTCGCACGCTGTCCGAACACTTGTTCGAGCGGTTGCGTTTTTTTCTGAGCCATAAATTTGTCAACGGAGGCGATCGCAGCCAGCGACTGTTGAGTTGTAAATTAACCCCTTTGGAATTTGGGATCCTGGCGCGGGCGCGTGCAAAAGGGGGCGCGGGCGGTGCAAAAAGGAGGCGCGTGCGCGTATTGTTGTCTTGAGCGTGGCTCCGCGGAAGGGAGGCAGCGGGGGCGTATATACGGGTCATAAATGTGTTGCACTAAGCAGGTCCCTCATCAGCGGTCGTCAGGCAGCCTGTCAATGCGTGTCGCAGCGCCTGGCCGGTCGTTAGGGCCTTCGACAAGCAAAAGCCCTCCCGCGACCTACTTAACTGTGATGGGAGCTATTTCGATACGAAATTATTATAATATTATTTGGTGACGCCACAATATCAACAAACACATTTTGTGAATTGCGGTCAATATCACGAGGGGACGAATATTTTTCATCTGTTAACACACATTTTAAGTGTTCTTTTATGCACAGATACATTTCGAGATATTTTCAAAATAGCAGAAATTAGGACACCTTTTACCATCTCGACCTTACATCGTAAGAAGAGAAAGTGTTCTAATTCTTCGCCAGAAACGGCAAAATTTCACCAGAAAATCTTATTCCTAGGCCCTAGTAACGAAAAAGAGAATGAACGTTACATATGCATAACAAATTACTTCCTCTACATTGTATAATCAGAATCCATGTTTGCGGCCCTTTGTTACCGAAAAATCTATTGACGTAGAAACGTGTGTGTCTGTCTGTGGACTATACTACCGTTCAGCCTGTGTTGTTCTCGATCGTTTCGAAAGACCTAGCGGCCATATTGTTTGAAACTGGTGTTTTGATTTTGTGCGTTTCTTGAAGCCTTCAAATTTTCTCAAAAATGGTCCCAAATTTGATTGAGTGGATTTTGTCCTCGAATAGACTACAGGACACTTAAAAAATGGTCCGGGTCATATATTCGTTGAAATACATGAATTTTTGGTAAATTGCAAAAGTTCAAATTTTTAGGGGGCGTCTTCATTCAACTTTAATATGGAAGTTTGAGATTTTTCCCTTGATGAAATAGGTTCTTTAAAGATGGATTCTGAAATAAAATCATGTCGAATTTTTCGAAAATGTGAGTAGTTTTTGCATAATTTTGTGTGAAATAAAGGCAATTTTAATTTTGTAAAATCTTTTTTTCTTGAAAAGGCTTTATTTTTTCTTGAATTTTCCCCCCTCTTATGTAGGACGGTATATAAAGGGTGGCAGTCTCATTCATATTCGGTGAACTCTGTATTGTCGAAAATTGCAAAATGTTAACGTTTAAAAATTAGAAAATTGAAGATACTTTTGTGTTAAACAAAATGTGTTCTAAAAATCAGCTTCTTATAAACCTTGTACAATTTTTTGAAAAAATGAGTAATTTCGCGCAACTTGTACTTGAAATTAATGCAGTGTATTAATACTAGTGGGGCTAAATCAGCACATAGTTGCTCGCCCTTAGTAACGGTTACGCAATATTATTTATATCGTAATTTCTGTCGTATGTCATTTGTCATTAACACATCTCAATCATCGTTTTTACTTTCTCGCTACCACTTACGCTGGCGTGTTATCTCTGTCTCCTTGACTTTGAGTCTCCAGGTGGAAAAAAATCGCCTCTTGAAAATACTGTTGCATGTTCATGTAATAGTAGACTATTGCAGATGTTACAGAAAAATGCGAGAATATATGTGCTGATGCAGCCCCACTACTATGGTGTCGTTCAGCAAGATATTTCTAGTTCACGTCTCTACTGTTACTCAATTTTTTTTGTTTTGTTTTGTTTTTTGTTCTCAGGACGATGGCACGACGAACCAACGCTTGCTGTGCATTCCTGATCGGTGCTGCATGTGCTCTTACAATGTTCCTAACGTTCGATATGTTACCAGGCCCTGCCTGGGATCAGAGGAGGGACGGCTCGCTTTTCGAGTTGTACCATCCGGTTCCGGCCAATGACGCCGTAAGTTTCTTTTTCTTTTCTTCTTCTTCAATCGATTGGCCATTTATGACCACACTACCCGTTCTCTTCCGAGGTTCCGGAGTGATTAGAGTGTGTAATTATTGGAATCGGCTTTTCACCACTATATCCCGTGATGAGACAATGTTGCTACACTTTGAATTATGAATAATGAGGCGATAGGATGATAATGAGGGGTGAAAGGACGATCACAAATACGACCATGCATAGGTAGAACTCGAACCTGCAGCCTCCTCGGCGCAGACGACGGCTCCCGCAACCCTCTGCACCACGGGGCCGACATTATTATTATTATTATTATTATTATTATTATTATTATTATTATTATTATTATTATTATTATTATTTTAATTTTTCGTTTATTCTCAAAGTTTTTGGTTTAACATGGATACCACACGGATACAATATCAAAGCATGGTAACACAGACATATTTAAAATCTACAAAACAAATTAAGACATTCTAACACATAAACATAAAATAACTGTTTTCAGATGTAAACATAAAATAACAGTTTTCAAATGCTAATAACATAATAACAAATACAATTTCAAGAATGAGCTTTCAAAACCCAACATGTCCTTCCATGAATCTCTTGACTAGTGAGAAGGTACTGATTATAACCGATTTCTGGAGGCCGGTGATAATGCTCTTCTCCAAGCAGAGTTCTTCCGACGATCTGGAGAGTTCTTCGTATCACGCCAGTTGATGACCGTACAATTGGGATTGTTTTCACTTCGGACATTCTCTGTATTTGTCGATTTTAGTCTGGTAAGTTGTCATCATATTGCTGGTATTGACGACTGCAAAATCAATAAACCAAACTTTCTTTGCAGATTTGTCCCAAGGAGTAATATCAGGTCTCGTAATGCGTCACAATAGCACAAGTGATAGTTTTCTTCAGCCTGGTTAGTCTCACAACAACAACATTCTTTAATTTTTATTGATACTTTTTAGCTTGTTATTGCCTTCGGTACGGAGTTCGATGTACACTACTGGTTCGAGAAAATCGTGGTTTAGCGAGAAATATGAACACAGTTGAATCGTGTTACACGTTTTCTTAAGGAGGTAATTAGAAGAGTGAATAATGAAAGGGAATTATAGGAGAAATAGGAAATCATAGGAGATATGAAAAGACAGTAAACAAGCAGTTAATTGGTAATAAGTAACATTGAATAATTAAAATTACGTAAAAAGTAAAATCATGTCTGTACCACGGGCGTTAACTGGTTCTAAGGATCGAGCGGCGAGAAAAAACCCTCGGGCGTGGATAAATAGCTATTTTGTCGTGCCATGCCAATTTATTTAACTTTATTTCCCCTTTTACGCGTTCCGCTCCCTAGAGACGTCGGTCTTCCCACCGGCTTAGTTGGGCATCAATTATTGTTACTGCAGTGACTCTGACCGGGAGGCGCTAGGGTTCGAATTCAGACGGTGGCAGGATTTTCGACACTAGGTAGATAGCTAGGCCGAATTCAACCGCTGCCTGGAGGAGAATTCTAGTGGTCGGCTGCTAAAATCGGTCAAGAAATCTCCAATAATCACATTCAACATATGTGCTTGTCTTTACAATTTTTAACGGGTGGTGCTATAAAATGGCTCAAACTTTCTTGTACTAGTCAGTTGTGTAATCTCTTTGGTTTGGGATAGCTTTTCGCCTTTGCTCCAACCTCTTCAGAGCTGCTCTCTACTAGTGTACCGGTAGTCGTGGCTCAAGGCATCAACTGATGTCACTAGTGTCTCTGACCGGGAGGTCCTAGGTTTGAGTCCACGGTTGCAGGGCTTTTTACGTCGCTAGGTTGCGTTCAGTCGCTGTCTGGAGAAAAAGAAAAACAGGGACAGACTACTCTGATCAGTAATTTTCCGTGGTTTCTCCGGTCAAGACCAGACGAATGCCGGAGCTGTACCCTAACGAACGCGAAATAGACCGCGCGCAAGGTTTCCTTCCTCTTTTTAGACTTACCATCACCCCTTACTTACACACACTTAACACATACGTGCACTGCACAAACACATGTTTGGAGAGCAGTCGAGAGCTTAGAGCTCGCCCCGGTTAGCAGTGCTTGGCTGGTGAGATACCTGGTTAGGGAAATCCCGGAAGATGACGGGTAGGTCGGGTAGGTCAAAGAGATTTATACGAAAAATTAATTTCTTTCTCTTTGCACTTCGAACGTGCGGCATTTGAACTGAATGGCCTTTGCTATTAATTTGTCCCAAAGAGTGGTTATTAATGATTGTATTTGAAGTACAGCGTCAAATTTGAAATAATTTCGCCGCCTATGTGCGAATAAGCTTCAAATTTCGCGTTTACAGTAACGCTTAAAACATTTTCTTTACAACGGCTCCAAATTTTTCAACGAAAATTTCCATATAGGACGAGGTTTTACTTTTATTTAATATTTGAAAAGTAATATTTCGAATCTGCCAATAGGAAACCAAAAATTTGAGATTTAAAAAAAGGGCAGTTTGATCGGCGAGTGATGGCAGCTGGCAAGAGGATGGGGCAAGACCAGAAAGCTAATCCAGACAGAGGCATTTAAAAACTAACTAGTACGATAAAGTCTGTGCAATTCTGTAGCACCACTAGTTTAAAATTTTTGCATACGTTTTCTAAGACGATTAGTTTGTTTTTTTTTGTATTTCGTGAGGGACAGTAAATTTACTTAGAGGTCTAATCTCGGTCGTTCCTCTTGAGCGATAGTACTTCCGGTCACAGGCACTGCAGCGACATCAGTGCCCTGAGCCACGTAAGTCGGTATAAACTTCGAACTGAACTGCAAGGGTAGGAAGACAAATCAAGACTTGTAGTGGAGCTGCGACTACGCGATGGCTTGTAAATGACTTGCGGCAATTCAACTGACCGCTGTGATTGCCTCTCATTTTGACAGGGAAAATGTTGCTATTTAGCTGAAGCTCTCTTCAGTGTACTCTGTTGTTACTTGCGTAACAAGAGGCCGAACAACTGACTGCGCTGACGCAATAAGACCGCCAAACTGTTATCGAAGCATGACCTTCAGCCTTCACTGACTTTTCCCGATCCCTATCCTGTCATTACAAAATTCCAACCGTAATTTTACTTGGAGCACGAAGCAGGTATCCGGTCGATACAACAGAAGACTCTTTTGTACGTTACATGCCCCTGAAATTGAAAACACGTTTCAATGATGAGGATATACATTTATACTGGCACAAACGAAAGTAAAGGGATTTGCGCCAACAAAATTGTTTTGTTGAGAATTAAATTTACTGGAGCATTTTCCATGCTGGAGCAAAATCCATGCTGATTTTAGCATAGAATGATTCCCTCTTCAAAACTGTTAAGATTTGGTCTCGGCTCAAGTTTTCGTACATCGAGTATTTTTTGAGTTATTTGAGTTTTTAAGTTCTCAAGTTAAATGGCACCTCTGTATAGAAAACAGGGATATTTTTGAGGCTATTACGTCATCCCCACCGGATGTCTACATGTCTTTGACGCAATAAACTGACATTACTGTCTGAGGAAATTTGTCCTTTTGAAAACACTGTCTCATACGTTCCTAAACATTCGCGATTCCACAATTTGAATCCATGTTAGCGTTGACAGCGGTTTTGGGAGTCCTCTCATAAATGATCTTAAGATAAACAGCAGAGCGCTTGCTCCGGACGCGACGCTAATTTAGATAACTTTGAAAAGCGATATTTCTCTCGCGTACATGGTTGAGAAAAATATCCATTGCTTCTCGTACGCAATACTTCATACTATTGTACGTAGGTGCATTTACCATTAGAGCGTTTTTCTAGAACTGCAAATGTTGAAGATAGATTTTTTCTCTTATTGAAACCTCTTGATCAAGAGTAGATCTTGAAATAAGGTAATGTACAATTTTTTAAAAATATTAGTAGTTTTTGCGTAATTTTGTTAGAATTACGGTCAATTTTAAAAACATTTTCTCCAAAAGGCCTTTATTTTCTTCTTTAAATAGGTACGGTAGTGCTAAATGCTCTGGGCAGCATGGCATACACCCATTTTTATCAATTTGATTATCTAGTATTCAAGCGTACTGTTCGGTTCCGAGTTCTCCGGCCCTACGTTTCTCCGCGGGGAGAAGGGAGCGCGATAAGGCGATGGGCTGTAGGATTTGGTTGACTGACATCCGTGACTCATATGTGGGCTGTAGGAAAGAGCGAGCGGGTACTCGGTTACTGCATTGGTTTCGCAAACATCAGCTCAGTTGTGATTCAGAGTGCGCGAATATTACACGTAAAATGGCGAAACGGAAATCGAATTCGACAATTCACAGTGAAGGTCGAGAGATCATAGCAAGTGTAATTGAGGCATGCGATAAAGAAAAGAAACAAAATCATCTGCTAGTACCTCTGACAAAAGCCACAGAAAGAGCAGCGGTATATACTGGTGTTGGTGTAACTAGTATTAAAACAAT